ATCTCATTATATTAAAATGTGTATATTAATAGTCCCTGCTCTCTTATTTCTATCTCAATTCTAATTTTAATCATTTATTTATTTATTTATTTATTTATTTATTTATTTATTTATCAGACTTATATGCCACCCTATCGTATCACCATTATACAGTATTTTAAACAAGACGTTTCCTTTTTATCCCTCATCTCTTATCCAAATTAATGCTTCCTTATTCGCTTTCATTTTAATAAAACAAAAACAATAATCGTATTTATTTATTGGTTCAATTTATATGCCGCCCTTCTCCGGATAGTAATCATATTCATTACATTCATTAAGCTAATATAGTTCTGAAGGTAATTCACATATTTATGTTAAATTTTACTTTTCCATTATTTAATGATTCGATGGTGATACATTTGTTAAGTGAGTTCGCCTCCGTTTTACAACTTTTCTTGCCACAGTCGTTATTAAAATTTTAGTTTGAATAGTCAAATTTTTGTGTCGTCATATTCCTCCTTTAACCATCATTTTCTTGCTACATTTCTTTCTTGCTTTTACATTTTAATTTAATTGATTACATCTTTTCCAAATTTCTCACATTTATATTAATTTTTATGTATGTATGTCTCATCTCTATCCATTGATAGAATTGCCCCCTTATCCTGTAATACTCCGATTCTTCCTTTCCTTTGATTGCCAATGTTAATCTATTCGTTTCTGCACGTTCCGATATTTTCTTAATTACCTCTCCCTCTAGAGGGATTTTTTTTTTCTGCTTTCCAAGCATCCACAACTTCTGGTGGCAAGCTGTTCCACCGGTTAATTATCCTCAGTATTAGGAAGTTTCTCCTTAATTCCAGGTTGCTTCTCTCCTTGATTAGTTTCTATCTGTTGTTTCTTGTCCCGCTCTCCGGTGCTTTGGAGAATAGCTTGACTCCCTCTTCTTTGCGGCCTTGCAACTCGCTAATGTTTCAAAACCAGAATGGCCCCTTGGCAGTGGCACGGGCAACCATTTGATTTTCTTCCCGCTGTGCACCATGGAACGCCTCGGAAGCATTAAACATCCCCAGGAAAAGTTTTAATCTGGGTTTTTTTCCCCCTTTAGTCTATTTTCATTCTGAAACATTGAAAAAAAAACTTTTTAAAGGAGGCCATCCCTACTTAGCATTGCGGGGTCCTTGGTGGTCTCCGAGCTGCGTGGTTTTCTTGCCGACGTCTCATTACCCAACTAGCTAACATCATCAGGGCACTGAGCGGGCACTGATGTTACCTAGTTTGGTTTTTCTTGCAGCCGTTTCAACACCAATCTCAAGAGAGCACCGGGGGCCCTGCAGTTCTACCCCAAGTTTACAAATATTCTATTATCTAGAGTTATTCCTCGACTTACTTATTTAGTGACCAGAGTTACAAAGCTTATTTAGTGACCAGAGTTACAAAGGCACAGAAAAAAATGACACGATCATTTTTCAAACGACCGTTGCAGTGTCCACAGCGTGACTTGATCAAAAGTTGGATGTTTGGCAACGGATTCGTATTCATGACAGTTGCGGTGTCCCGGACGTCGTTGGGGGGGGTCCCCTTTTGCGACCTTCTGACAAAGCAAAATCAACGGGGGAAGGAAGATTGACTTAACCACCATGTTACTAACTGCAGTGCTTCACTTAATGACTGCGTCAAAAGAGGTCATAAAGTGTGTATGGGGGGATTCACTTGTCTTGCTTAGCAACGGAAATTTGAAGCTCCATTGTGACCGTGAAGTCGAGGGCCAGCCGTACTTAGCAATGGCCAATGCAGCCATTAGAATAACATATTGCAACGTTGAACAATTAAATAATGAGTTTATAATTTAATACAAATAGGTGTATTAACACTAGAACTACAGAAACCTGAGGAATGTAATGAATATAATATCGCTATTTTTATTAGTATTAAAATTTATATGTAGATAGGGATAAAGGTTCAAGAGAGGAATATGGGAGGCAAGTTTTTTAAAAAACGAACAATTAAAGCTTTAAAGCGGGCAAGAGACGACGGATAGAAAGGATTTGTTCTTAAATATAATGGTGGCATCATTAAAAGTTAGAATAGGGATAAAAATAAGATGGGGAATATCAGTATACACATTTCTATACAATAAGACAAAATAATAAAAGAGAAGATTAGAAATTGAATGATGGTATTATGTATGTTTAAAAGATATTGTGATTGGCATTGGAATAACGTATTGAATAATTAAATGAAAGTCTATAATACAAAAATGTGTATTAATACTAGAACTACAGAAGCTTGAGGAATGGAACAAATATGATTAATAGCACTGTTTTTATTTGTACTAAAATGTACGGTACCCAGATGCCACCCTGTTCACGCATTGATATGGAGATATTGTAAAATAAAATAAAAAACTTGGGAGAGAAAAATAAGAGATGTAGAAAAGGGGTGTAAGGTTATTTGGGAGGCACCTGCTTCTCGGTGGAATAATATATCCATCAGTTACAGTCATCATCATCATCTTTTAACGACCCCGTAATCCCTTGCAGAGTGGAGTCTGGGCAACTGAATGGAGCTGAGTGTTTACTGGCCGGATGCCTTTCCTGTCTCCAATGCGGAGTTATATTCGGTAGATAAATTCTCATCGTGCCCAGAGAGAGAGAGAGAAATACCTGTCTCTACTTTTTTTTTTTTTTTTTTAATTTGATTTATATGCCGCCCTTCTCCGAAGACTCAGGGCGGCTTACAATGTGCTCAGCAATAGGATTGAACTCACAGCCTCCTGACGGAAAGGCCCGAACTCCTCCTCTAGGCCACCGCACCACTCATAACATCAGTCACAGTGTGATAGGAATATTTTTTATTCAAGATGGAAACTTATCCAAACCAGGGTCCCCCCGATTACAAAACCCAAACCCAAGGAAGAGAAGGCAATCTGGTAACGCAGCTTTGAAGCAGTGGGAAGCTTAGAGGAGGATTTTTTTTAAAAAAAAAGATCTGTTCCTTCTAAGGCTGAATTGCAAGTTTCCAAGTCCAGAAAAATCAGTGATTATTTACTCGGTGGATTTGCAAGGAGCTTTTCTGGCTGTGGATGGATCAAAGTTCAAACTCAAGAAGGGAAACAAAGCTGTTCTCCAGGTAAATCCTCTGTGGAGGTAAGGATCTACACACCGCCCTCCCATTAACGCCTTCATGGAAAAAGGACAGAAGCACCGTGTAATTATCTTCTCTTAAAAACAAACTACCAACTCTTCAGAGTTGGAAGAGCGAGTAGAACGGGGCGACGAAGGAGGATTCTTGCTTTGAAGGAAAAAAAAAAACCAGAATCGCCCTTTTCAAAGCAACAGATGTTCGTGGCAGGCTGTGAGCCCGGAGCCTGCCTCACGGGCCTCCACCATCCAAAAAGAATTTTGGAAACCAAACAGGTGATCTGCACACCTCTGGAGGCAGGTAGTTGGCTCCTCTTCCAATTATGGAGGAGAAAGAAAGAAAGAAAGAAAAAAAAATGCAGTTCCACAGGGAGACGCAGCATCCTTGGATATCCATCTTTCCTTCTGGATCAGGGATGAGTTGAAATCGGGCGGAGAGCCCCGAATCTTTTGGTCCGCAAGGATGAAGCAAAAGGAAAAATGGAGCACTTTCGGTCTTGGTAGAACTTCCACAACGCATCCGATCAAAAAGGAATTTTGTTTTTTTGGGTCCCTGCCCTACCAAAAAAAAAAAATCTATTTGGGGCCTTTAAAAATATATATAGAATAAAAGAGTGTGCTTCGCACGGAATTCCAAAAAGAAATTGAAAATTGGAATCGGCTGGATGTCGGCGAGGAGATCGTCGGGGAAGGGACGTTCTAGTGAACCGTTCTCTCCTTCTGCCGGTGGTAATCTGGAAAGGGAAGAGGCAGAAATGAAAGCCAGGATTTCAAGAGTCAGAATGAAAAACCCAACTTCTGACGGACGGACGTCAGTGCGGACTCCACAAGATGTGGATGATGACAAAAATAACTCCTATTTTGGTTATTGCTACCAGCAACCGGCATTCCGCAGAGGTTCTGTTCCCCGCATCCCAGCCTGGCACAGAATCTGACAATTTTCCTAAAACAATCCTCAAAGATGCTAGTCCCATAAACTTTCTCAGAGATATGAATATCTGATAAGATTCCTGTTTTCCGCACGGAGCCTCGGTTTCCCTTCTCGTCAAAGGGAGAACATTCCCAATTAGAAATAGCAATAGCCCTTAGATTTATATTCCGAAGTTATATATACTTCACATTGCTTTTACAGCCCTCTCTAAGTGGTTTACAGAGTCAACCTCTTGCCCCCAACAATCTGGGTCCTCATTTTACCCACCACGGAAGGATGGAAGGCTGAGTCAACCTTGAGCCTGGTGGGATTCGAACTGCCAAATTGCAGGCAGCCGGCAGGCTGCAGAATTAGCCTGCAGTACTGCACTCTAACCACTATGCCACCGCGGCACATCTCAAATGATGTCAGTTTGTGAATCTCACAGGACATTTTATGTATGTGATTTCTAAAGCTGCCTGTTGTGGCTCTGTTACCGGAGCCTGTGTCATCAGCAGGAGAGGACTCCGAGAGTGAAGAAGAGGAGTTGGCAAGGCCTCCCTCTCCAGGACCCTCCTCTCTGGCAATGCCTTCGGTGTCCGCCGAAGGGCAAGAGATAGGGCCGGGGCCAAGCACGTCCACGCAGCTACAGATGGACAGTGATGAGGGTAATAAGTCTTGGCTGGATCCACGCCACCGTCGCAGAGATAAGCGCGCGCAACAGAAGAAAAGGTGTGCCCGAGATTAGGCTGAGTCACTGGACCACACCCCACAGGGTATAAAAGGGAGCGTGGTGGCCAGTCAAACCTTGTGACGAACAAAGCTGAAAGCTTCCACGCCATTCTGCATTGCCGGACTTTTGGCTATAGACTTTGCTGGATTATCTCTGGACTTGATTGACTCCGTAATTATTGAGCTGTTTCTTTTGATGTATCAGAAGTGGGGAGGTTATCTCTCCTCTTCATAAATAATAAACTCTTGGCAGGCAGCCACTAGGTTGTTGCCAAGTTCCGTTATCTTAAGGAAAAGGATTTTGCCTACTGGTTTGGTCTTTAACGCTTGAACGTCTGTTGGTGTGTGTGCGTGTGGTTGGGGACAGAACACTGCCTTATCTATGGGCGGCTCACGGTTCGAAAAGATATATTGCAGTTAAAATCTGAATTTAAAAACAATAAAAACAGTGAAACCCATTGAAACAAATCGTTTAAAAAGGTTTCCCCATAGAAAAGTACCAACAATACTTACTGTAAGGAAAGAAACGGACTCTCATAATGATTTCCCGAGCAGTTTTCAAGATCTCTACAGCCTGGGAGAGAGAGAGAAATGTTGACTCTTTAACAGCAACAAATATATTGGCCTAATGGTTGAGGCACCAGGCTAGGAATTGGGAGACTGTAAGTTCAAGTCCGGCCTTAAGCCGGCTGGGTGACCATGGGCTGGTCCCTCACTCTCAGCCCAAATCGCTTCACAGGGTTGTTGTTGAGGAAAATAGGAGGAAGGAATCTTAAGATTAGTCGCCTCGAGTCGTTTATAAAAATAAGAAACGCAGGACCTAAATTAAATAAATAAATGAATAAATAAATAAATAAATAAAGCCGTTGTATTGTATATGTTCTGCTTTCTTGATGGATCTCAGTGGCCCTTAAAAGGGTGCAAAACAATCTCGCACCCAGCCATTGAGTGACTTGTGTTATGGCCTGTTGGCCGCAGGCCGAATCAGAGGAGGAGGAGGAGGAGGAGGAGGTGTGGGAGCCAGGGTCAGCATCAAGGCAACCTGAGAGCTCCAAGGGGGAAGAGGGAATGGAGCTGGCAGAGAGTGAGAGAGAGAGAGAGACAGAGGTGAAGCCTGGGCCGTCCGTCAGCCCTCAGATGGAGAGTCAACAACCCCCAGGTCTGGAGGTGGCTGATGAGGAAGAGGAGGAAAATCTGGGTCCAGTGCCTGATGAGCAGATGCACATAAGGCAAGAGGAGAGGAGAGCAGTGGAAATCTATGGGCTGGTCCTCAGGACAGAAGAGACACCGCTGCTAGGGAAGCCACACCCTAGCTCTGGGTATAAAAGGCAGGGGGGCGGAGATGAATAGATGTGGCAGACAACTATTTCATCTCCTGGCCGGACAGACTTGTGAGCCTGTGGTGAGAGTGAGGCAGACTTTTTGCCGGGGCTGCTGGCGCTCCTAATAAAGGAATCGTTGATTGATTAGAGGGTTTGTCGTGTTTGGGGAGCTGGGTCAGAACAGACTGCATTTCAGTAAGGAACATGCGATTCGGCTTTTCAGCAAGATCAGACTTCCCTATCACCAAGAGCCTTGGTGGTGCAGTGGACTAAACTACTGTTAAAGTAGTACTTAGCTGCCAGCTGCCTGCAATTACTGTGAGTTCAATTCTCACCAGGCTCAAGGTTGACTCAGCCTTCCATCCTTCCGAGGTAGGTAAAATGAGGACCCGGTTTGTGGGGGCAATAAGCTGACTTTGTATAAAATAGAACACCGCTCGGGGGGGCGAAAAAGCCCTACTAAGCAGGCATATACAAAAAGTATGAAGGCTATTGCTTAAAAGCATTGTAAGCTGCCCTGAGTCTCCGGAGAAGGGCGGCATATAAATCAAACAAACAAACAAACAAACAAACAAACAAATAAATCTGTTAAATAGGTGGGTGGGTGGATGGATGGATGAATAGATATAGATAGAAGATAGATAATAAATATAGATGATAGATAGATAGATAGATAGATAGATAGATAGATAGATAGATAGATGATAGATAGATAGATAGATAGATGATAAGATAGACAAAATAGACAAAATAAATAAGATAAATATCCGGCCTTTATTCTTTATATAAATAATGCAATGCAATGAACTCCCTAATCTCTAATGTTTGGGAACTCTTTGGGTTGAAGGCCCATCTCCTCATTCGAACAGCCAAGCTCCTCCCGCCAAGGTGAAGGCACCTCTCACCTTGCTGTGCTCAATATCTTGGAAGTCCACATCGTTCACTGCCAGGACCTGATCGCCCTCCTGCAACCCGGCTCGATGAGCGTCAGAATCCGGGATCACCTAACATAGGAGAAATGAGAGGTCACCATAACGTAGAGCATTGTCAAAAGGCCTTTTCCCCAACTTGGGACAATCCAAATGGATAATAGATTTTATAGTTCAGAATCTGGGGGGAGGAGAGGGGTGCACAAGGCCAGAGAAAGGGGAGGCCAGCGTATTGTATTTTTCCCTTTGCCCAGGAATATCTCTCGATATATGTTTGTAATATTTTAGGATTTTACATTTCATATTTCATTATTTTTAATCTCTGGGGGTTTTATCCAAATTTGATGTGAATATGACATATGATACAATAATGCCCAGGAAGACGGAATAATAGGGAAAAAAATTATCTGGATTAAGGCAAAATAATGGAAAGGGGGATTGAAAAGGTCAAAATGACATCCTGCCTCTCATTTTAAAACCTAAAACATGTGGGAATCAGTTAAACAAGCTACATGCAATTTAAAGAAGCTGTATGGTTATAGTTGAAAGCGATACTAATTGGAAAATATACCATATTCTATACGAAAAGAGAGAGGGAAATGGAGTGGAGTGGAAGGGAGTGGGAGAGGAAAGGAGAAAGAATAAGGGTAGAGAGGGAAAAGGAGAGAGGGGAGGGGAGGAGAAGAGAAAGAGAAAAAGATAGAAGTGGAAAAGAAGAGGGGGAAATAGAGGGGGGACAGGAGGAGAAGGAGAAAGGGAAGGAGAGGAGAAGGAAGGAGGGAAGTAGAGAGAAGGAGAGGGGAGTAGAGAAGAGAGGGAGGAGAAAGAAGAGGAAAGGAGAGGGATGTTGTAAAAATGGGTGAAATATGGTGTACAGGAGAAAACAGACAGACAATTTCGTGTTTTTTTTTTTCTTGAGGGTTATACTATTGAAACTATAACGGAAGATAATACGGATGCTAAAGCACATCGGTTTAGATGTTATTGCCTACTAGCTAATACTTATATGAAAATTAAAATTTTATATGAAAATTAAAAGGTAGGAGTAAATACGAAATAAGGAAAATGGAATGTAATGATTAGGAATATGTTTATATGTATTGAAATGTATGATACTCAAACATCGCACCATTCACACAAGGATATGTATAAATTTTTAAAAAAATAATAATAAAAACTTGATTTAAAAAAGTTACATACAATCCCATATATTTTATTTCGGCTTCAGTTTCTGATGAATTAGTCTGCGGTCCAACTTAAATTTTTGTTTCAAAGGAAGCCGGCACAAAACTAAGTGGCCATTTTACTTACAGGGGGGGGAAAAAACCCAAAAAAACCCTTGACAGCACCTATCCTAGAAGAATGGATCTCCTCAGTCGAATTGCAGTTTCTTTTTTCAAACAGAATTGGGATTATGACCAGGTAGGCCCTTGGTGGCTGGCTAGAGAAGACAAAGGAGGAAGGCCGCAAATTCTGCAACCAAAAATCCCAATTCATGTGCTTTTTTGGCCAGGAGCCCAGAGTGAGACGAAAGAAAAATCTACCTTTGAGATGAAAATACCCAACTGGGAAGCTTTTCCTCCTCGGATGTTAAAGCCCAGCTAGGAAGGAAAAAAGAATGGAGAGAGTTGACATAAAATGGAATCGCTTCTTTCGAGTTCTGTGAATTGGCTGTTCAACACGGATCTCCGAGGCCACATTTCGAGCCTGAAATAGTATAGGTTCTGCTTAAGCAGGGGACTGGACTAGAAGACCTCCGAGGTCCCTTCCAGCTCATTCATTCTATTCTAACCCATCTCTTAAGCAAGGAAGGCTCAACAACCAGCAGCTTTTGCAGTCAGGGGGAAGCATGACAAATCTCAGGGGGTATTTTTCAGAAGTAACCCCACTTTATCAAGCTTGTGTCTGTTATAATCAATTCTGCCCTCCTCAGAGACACGACACTATTTAACTTACGACCAGTCTCACGGTCGTATGTCCACTTTCTTTTGCTGGAAACCAGGGTTATTTTTCTGGTTCCCAGCATCGTGGACAATGGGTTCACTTCACGACTGTGGCATTCGCTTTACGGCTGTCTTTTTCGCTTAAGAACTGCCACCAAAAAAGTTCATAAAATCAGTTAATGACCAGCACGACTTAGGACTTTAATTCTGGGCTCAATTATGGTCATAAGTTGAGGACGACCTGCAGCAGAAAGAGTACAGTGGTTTTAAGCCTGTCCTGGCCTGATTCACGCAGCCAAATCCATTTGCTGCCTCTTTCTCACTAACTTCTCTCGAGGAAGGAGCATCTGCTTCCAGACTCCAAATCCAGCAAATTCAAAAGCTTTTTAAGGCTGACTGACCAACTTATCCAGTAGCTGTGCAGAATGAATTCCATCCCTCCCCTGAGGAAAACCAATATTTTTGTAGAGGAATTGAGCTAATGAAAAGCCAAGGGGCTATTGCCCCCACTGTGGTACAATTATCATCGCTTATGGCTGGGGATGATGGGAGTAGTTGGAGAATGCCAGCTTGGGAAGGCCATCACAGAAGTCCTCTCTTTGCCCCACCCTCTCTGAGAAGGAGTCAAGTCTCACCTGAGCCCCCGAAGGCTTTTTCAGGACGATGGTACGTGGCAGGAACTGGGTTAACTCGTTGTTGTAATCCGAATGGTAAATCCTCTAGGGAAAAATCAAAGGATACACCTAGAAAGAGCACCGGGGGTTTCATTCTGGGAAATATAAAATCTTTCTGGCAGGTACCCCCTTCCTGGTTCTACCAGGAGAAAAGCATCAGAATTATTGGGGTTGCTGCAAAAAATGTCCTTTTTTTTTTTTTACGTCAAATCCAAGCAAGGCAGAAGATTGCTCAAAGGCTACCAAAAACCAGAAGGGGATCTACAGCGACCCACCTCATGAGGGGGGATCCAGGTCGGAGGATTCTCATACGGAGGGAGGAAGACCACTGGGTAATCATCGTAGGGGATCCGGCTACTGCCTCCCATATCCATGTTGGCTCAGTCCAGAAACAGGAAAGCTCACCAACGGTTCCTAGCACGAGAGATCGGAGAGATTTCCACCCACAAGTTCCCCCATAATGAATTAATGCTTTTCACCACACCCTGCCCCCAAACTGAGATATACAGCAACAGCTCTATTTACATAAGAGAACAAAATGCATCTTATCCACTTCTGCTTCTGCTTCAAAACCACTTCTGGACCTTTTTGTGCTCAAGAAAAAAACCCACCTGAAACTCTGCTTTTAGGATTTACCACTTAGATAGATTTGTTGTTACTGAAATGGTTACTACGTATTGGTATGCATGTAAAAGTAAATAATTGAAGCTGGATATTATTTTTATTGTAGCAGGCTGAAAAAAGTTGGACGATTTCCCCCCCCCTTTTTTTTCTGTTACCCTACACCTCTTTCCCCTTTTTTTCCTTTACCTAGTTCCCTATTATCTGTTTTCATTTCTATTCTATTCTATATTATTTTTATATTTATATATATGTATATAATAATAATTTTACTGTTATTGTACATATATACACAGTATACCCATACAACGAAATTCACTTAACATCCAAAGATCAGGCCCAACACACATAACAATCCCGGAACACACCCCCAACCCACCACAAATTCCCCGCCCCTAAACCACCCAAACATCCACACAACAGACCAAGTAATGCTGTCCAACAGCTCACTGATGGGGGCCCTTTAGTTCATTGTTGAGTGCAATTATAGCTCTGGGATAAAAACTATTCAGAAAACCTATATGTATGTATATTTCAATAAAAATTATTGAAATTTGTTATACACTATGTGTGTATGTACCGTACTTATTTTGTATGTGTATGTGTATTACTGTACTTATTTTCCCGAAAATAAGACCCTGTCTTATATTTTTTTGAACCCTGAAATAAGCGCTTGGCCTTATTGCCATGCGCTCAAAAGCCCGATTGGGCTTATTATCAGGGGACGTCTTATTTTGGGGGAAACAGGGTAGAAGATAGATAGATAGATAGATAGATAGATAGATAGATAGATAGATAGGTAGATGATAGATAGATTTATTTATTAGTTCGATTTATATGCCGCCCTTCTACGGAGACTCAGGGCAGCTTACAATGCATTAAGCAATAGCCTTCATACTTTTGTATATACCTGCTTTCGCGCCCCTCCCCCCCAAGCGGTGTTCTTTTTTATACAAAGTCAGCTTATTGCCCCCACAATCCGGGTCCTCATTTTACCTACCTCAAAAGGATGGAAGGCTGAGTCAACCTTGAGCCTGGTGAGATTTGAACTTGCAATAATTGCAGGCAGCTGGCACTAAGTGCTACTTTAACAGCACTTAGTCCACTGTGCCACCAGGATCTGATAGGATCTATCATCAGATAGATGATAGGTAGATAGGTCGGTAGATAGATAGGTAGATGATAGGTAGATAGATAGATGATAGGTAGATAGACATATAGGTAGACAGATAGGTAGATGATAGGTAGATAGACAGACAGGTAGACAGATAGGTAGATGATAGGTAGATAGACAGACAGGTAGACAGATAGGTAGATGATAGGTAGATGATAGGTAGATAGATAGGTAGATGATAGGTAGATAGACAGACAGGTAGACAGATAGGTAGATGATAGGTAGATAGACAGACAGGTAGACAGATAGGTAGATAGGTAGATGATAGGTAGATAGACAGACAGGTAGACAGATAGGTAGATGATAGGTAGATAGACAGACAGGTTACATAGATGATAGGTAGATGATAGGTAGATAGACAGACAAGTAGACAGATAGGTAGATAGATAGGTAGATGATAGGTAGATAGGTAGGTAGATGATAGGTAGATAGGTAGGTAGATGATAGGTAGATAGATAGAAAGGTAGATGATAGGTAGATAGGTAGATAAGATGTATGTATATAAATATACATACATCTGTATATCTACATATACAAAGTTCAATACTTATTGAAATGTACATACATATAAATATATACACAGACACATACATACATATATACATACATAATTTATATATACATACATACATTCACATACATATATATAAACACACACATATACATGTATATATACCAATTTGGTTGTATACATGTACAATGACAATAGACTATTATATACACACACACACACACACACACACATATATTAACAGACACACACACCTATATGTATTATATGTGTGTGTGTATTATATTGTATACTATAAACATATGAATCAATTTCTTTATACACAGTAAATACACACATAGCCGTTTTCATTGACAGACCCATATTTGTACCCTTCACACATAAGAGAATGTAACCCACCCCGTCCCAAGGCCTTGCGGTCGTAAAACGAGGACCTGGAGGGAACCAAAGAAAAGGACGAGCTCCAAAGGCCCGGCTGCCCCCTCCCTCCCTCCCTCCCTCCCCTCAGCTTCCCTCCGCATAAAGGAAGCTCTCCTGCAGCCCCGGACTCTTCCCAGGACCGACCTGGCTCAGCCTCAAGTCTCCGGGAGTTCCGCAGGCCACCCCCGTCGCTCTCCTTCCGCGGCTCCAAATTTTAGGCCTGCCTTCTATCTAGGGAGGGGACCGCCGCCAACAGGCCTCGCCCTCCTGCGGCCTCCCCTCAGCCTCAGCGCCCGGGAATCAACCGCCTTCTCCCCGCCGGCCTCAGCGGCTGGTCTGAGGGGAATCCGGGAGAGGGCCCGCCTCCCTTTTTTCCCCCCTCCCCTTCCTCCAATCCAAGCAGGCTCTTCCTCACCCGCAGAGCCAATCGGAAGGAGGGAAAGCCAATCCCCCTCCTGCTATTGGGCCTCCCGTTCTTGCCCTGGCGGTAGAGACGGCGCTCGGATTGGCTGGAAGCGCGAGGGCGGGAAAGGTCTCCGCCGCGGAGGGGAATTGCCATGGCAACGCCGCCCGGCGGCGGGTGACGTCAAAACGGGCGCCGCTGACAAATCGCCTTTTTAATGATATTAAATATGAAAAAAAAGGACCGGCTTCATCCAGCCCACGTGACATATGGGCGGGGCTAAAAGGGGCGATTTCCTACGCCATAGAGTACTGAGGGATAGAGTAACGCCGCTACAAAGGTCAGGAAAATGGCGGCCGCCTTTTATTTCCCTCAGGGAGCCGAAAAAAGCCGCCGCAACCTGTGCGCCGCCTATCCCCACCCAGAAACCGTCCGAAAGGCCGCTTCCAGCCCCAACCGCCACAATTAAATAAAATAAATTAAAAATTTTAAAAAAAAATTAAAATTTTACACTCCCCGCCTCCGTACCCTTAGGAAACCACCCGGCCTTACGCGCATGCGCCGCGGGGGGGCGGCGACGTCCTGACGTCACGGTAGACGTACCCCGCCCCCCCAAAGGCTTGGCGCCACGTTTAAACGTCGAGGCCGGACGCGAAGGAGGACCGCCGCTAACGGTCGGCCGCTGAGGCGAGAGGGGCTGCCGGCCGGGAGGTTTCTTTTTCCCCTCCCCCCCCGCCGGAGCCGCGTCTGGAAGCCTTCGGGAAACCCCGCCGGAGGGAAGAAGAGTCGCTTTTTCCCCCTGAGGGGAAAAAGTTTCCCGCCTTTTTTTTTTTTTATTTGCGTCTGTGTCGCTTCGGTGAGGGGTTTTTTTTTTCCCTCCGTCTCCCAAAACAACAACCCTGCGAGGTAGGCCAGAGCTGCCATTCCGGGGGTCTCTTCCTGACAAGCGGGGGCTTTTTGAGGGTCCCGCAGTTGTGGCCCTTCAGGAACCGCCCGGGAGGAAGGAAAGAAAGAAGGCAGCCCGTGGCCGAAGCGGAGATCCTCGTCTGGCTTCTCTCTTCCAAGGGATCCCTGGATATTCGATCCCCCCTGGTGGCTTCAGAGGGGCTATTTCCACTTTTTTTTTCCCCTTGACTTTTAAATGTTAGGGGAATGATGTTAGGAAGCGATGCTCCTTTGGGGAAGAGGAGGTCACCTCTTCCTTTCTCCCCACCCCCCCTGCAAACTTGAAAGGCTCGGGTCAGCTCCCTAAGGTGGCTCAGTGGCTAAGACGCTGAGCTTGTCGATCAGAAAGGTCGGGCGGCTTCGAATCCCTAGTACAGGTCTCCTGCTGAGCAAGGGGGGGTTGGACTAGATGACCTCCAAAGGTCCCTTCCAACTTTGTTGCTGTTAAAATGCCTGATTTAAGGTGGCTCAGTGGCTGAGCTTGTCGATCAGAAAGGTCAGTGGGTTTGAATCCCTAGTATAAGGTCTCCTGCCTGAGTGGGGGGGGGGGTTGGGACTAGATGACCTCCAAGAGGTCCCTTCCAACTCTATTACGGTTAAAGTGCCTAACTTGAGGTGGCTCAGTGGCTAAGACGCTGAGCTTGTCGATCAGAAAGGTCGGCGGGTTCGAATCCCCTAGTATAGGGTGTCCTGTCTGAGATGGAGGGGTCGGACTAGATGACCTCCAAGGTCCCTTCCAACTCTGTTACGGTTAAAGCAGGGGTGAAATGCTCCCGGATCGCCTGAGCCGGTAGCACCCCCCCCCCCCCCCCCCGGTGGTTCAGCGATCCAGGAAGTAATGATCCAGGTGTCATTACTTCCTGGTTTTAACCAGGAAGTAATGTTTTTTAACTTTCTGCGCATATGCAGGTTTTGCACAGGTGGTGCACGTGACGCGAGCGAAGCACGCGTGGCACGTTCACTTCCGAACCGGTAAGGAAGGTAAGTAGATTTCACCCCTGGGTTAAAGTGCCTGACTTAAGGTGGCTCAGCCGCTAAGACGCTGAGCTTGTCGATCAGAAAGGTCGGCGGGTTCGAATCCCTAGTATAGGGTCTCCTGTGTGAGCAGGGGGTCGGACTAGATGACCTCCAAGGTCCCTTCCAACTCTGTTACTGTTACTTGTGCGGTGGAGAGGGTGTGAGTGGATCTTCCCCACTCACGGCTGGGAATCTCAAGTCTTAGAGAAGTTTAGCTTTTTTTTAAAAAAAAATTGATTTATATGCTGCCCTTCCGGAGACTCAGGGCGGCTTACAATGCGTTAAGCAATAGCCTTCATACTTTTGTATATTTATACAAAGTCAGCTTATTGCCCCCACAAACTGGGTCCTCAATTTACCTACCTTAGAAAGGATGGAAGGCTTCTTGGAGAAGTAACAGTAACAGTTGGAAGGGACCTTGGAGGTCATCTAGTCCCAACCCCCTGCTCACGCAGGAGACCTGTATTAGGGATTCAAACCGAGAAGAAGAGGACGAGGTTAGGAGGGAGGGAGGCGTGTCAGCCGTCTCCGAGGATTTGAAGAGAGACAGAACTGCTTGGAGCTCTTCCAGAAATGTGGAAACTTATTAGTTGAAATGACAAGAAAGCATATTTTGGTTGGAGAACAGTTTTTTAAAAAGAATTCCTAAGAAGTTTTGGAAGGGCCTGGACTTTTCTTCATGGGAAGTCTTTAAGCAAATGTTAGAATAGGGGTCTAACATCTGTAGGGGTTGCGGCCCACTACCAGGCCGTAAGGTGTTCAGAACCAAGCCGCCTGAAGCTTTTTTGGAAACTCATGCGAAACCTTCCCTTTTTCCCCTCCCATCCACAAAGCTGGAAAGTTTGAGGAACTCTTTTTTGGGGGGGGGGGAATAAAAGCGATGTTCCTTTGGGGAACAGGTCACCCCCAGTTTTTCTCCCACAATTGAAAGGCTTGGGTTGGGCTTAATGGTCCTGCTTTTGACAGCCAAAGAGATTCGTGGTTGGTGAGAAATTACAGGGGAAAATAGAATTGGTGACTTTTTTTTAACAGCAGAAAATTTGAAGCTGTCGCAACTTAAATTAATTTTACTTGCCAACAAGGGTCAATCTTGAGTTTTCACTTCTGTCGTTTTCATTTGAGGCTTAATACTGATTTGATTTACAGGAGAGTTTTCCAGTAAACTTGTGGACGTTATGTCTGCAATCTGCAGGCAGTTTTAGCCTTGTAGTTGGTGGAGCTTGGTTGATTTCAAAGAACTACGGTAAATAGGATCGCATTTGATGAGCATTTGGATGGGACCCCATGAAGGAATCCAAAAGGGATTAGGTTAAACCAAGAAGTTTTCCAACATCCTAGAAGGCAAAAGTAAGCAATCTCTGTACTTTTGCCAAAAAGTCCATATGACTGAGTCTGTTGAATCACAAGGAGTTGAGCTCCGCTCAAAGGTTCCTTTTTTAGATTAATAAATTCCTAGCATTAGCAGTGTGTTAAGGAAAATTCTCAGTCCTCCAGGCAGAGTTGTCTGGAGGTTGAATCATAGCAACTGGACTTCTTTTCTTGTTTTGTACAGCTCAGACTGAGGAAGCAAAATGTTTCGAATCCAATTCCAGTCCAGTTTCCCTGACTTAACCTCTATGTAGTGTTAGCGATATTCATATGAGGAATTCAGTTATCAGCCTGCCAACAGATGAGTCAATGTAGGTTGTTGGTTTTGATGGGAGTCTCAGCTGAGGGATGTCTGTCTGTCTGGTGTCTGATCCAAATCTTACCTGGAGTGTGGAAATCCATCACCATGATCCTTGGTGAAGGACATGGCCCTTAATTTTTTAATTTTTTTTATTTTAATTTGATTTATATGCCGCCCTTCTCCGGAGACTCAGGGCGGCTTACAATGCGTTAAGCAATAGCCTTCATACTTTTGTATATTTATACAAAGTCAGCTTATTGCCCCCACAAACTGGGTCCTCATTTCACCTACCTTAGAAAGGATGGAAGGCTGAGTCAACCTTGAGCCTTGGAGAGATTCGAACCAGCAGTAAATTACAGGCAGCTATGTTAATAACAGGGTGCGTAGACCACTGTACTATCAAGGCTCTTTTGCAGAAATAGCTGATTTATTCACTTAAAAGTCCCATAAAATTCAATGACAATATTGGGTTGTAGTCTCGGGAGTTTTAAACTTTCTGTTATGCTTTCCAAATATTGACCGAAGCACCTTAATGAAATGCTCAGAAAAGATTTTTAACTATATTGCTTTTGTGTACTACATCTAGAATTTACTTTTAAAAAGAATAAGTCCTCATACCGAAAAAAAAGACATTTTTGCACCGAGTTTCTCCTTACTACACATTTGATCGTCCCCAGCCAATACCTCGATGCCAATGTTTGCAAATTGCTGCTTACGGGAAAAAAAGCTACACTTGTTTTTTTTATAACATTTGTGATTTCTTTCAGGAAGGTACGAATATAAAATGCCTAAAGAGGAAGATCGTGTAATCCCGGTGAAGGTAGCATTGAGATGCCGCCCGCTCGTCCCCAAAGAAATTGCGGAGGGTTGTCAGATGTGTTTGTCTTTTGTCCCTGGAGAGCCACAGGTGAGGGAAAATTTGCAGCTGGGAGGTGCTCTGAACAGTGACTTCCAAAATTTTATAGCTCTTCCTCTTGCTATAGGAAGTCCTAGACTTCCAAGCATTTATTTACTGACCCTTCAATGTTTACAATGGCGGCAAAGAAAATTGCTTGTGACCGTTTTTCACACTTCCAACGGTGGCAGCATCCCCATCATGTGAACAAAATACGGACACTTGGCGACTGATCTGTATTTATGACGGTCACAGGGTCCCACGATCATTTAGCAGCCTACTGACAAGCAAAGTCAGTGGGGGAAAGCTGGATTCACTTAACAACCATGGCCAGAAAGCTCGCAAAATGAGATAAAGCTCACCGACCACCTGTCTTGCTTAGCAACAGAAATGTTGGGCTCCGTTGTGGCCGTAGGACGAGGACTAGGGG